TTTTACTATTTTTAAAACAATTTTTTTTCAGAAAAAAACATTGGTTTTAGATTTAAAATGCTGAAAAATTCCATTGTTATTCAATTTTTTCATTAGAAAATTTATTCGTTTATTTTTCTAACTGATTGGAAATCATAATTTTTTTTTCTGAAGTATAGAAATAGTTTTTTTTTAATTCTTGTAGAAAAACTAATTTTTATTAGTGCAAGATATTCATTTTAATATCTTGTTCTTTGTAGAATTAAAAAATTAATTCTTAGAAATTTCATATCACTTTTGTTCTAATTAGTTAAAATTTTTAATAATTCAAATTTTGTGAGAATAAATTTTGTGATACTATTTTTGCAAGAAAATTCAGAATTTATTTAAATTATTATTGTATTGATAATAATTGAAATCTTTTACACAATGTTACACTACCGTCGGGAATTATCGGTACGGCTGCACGCGCACGGCCCAAAAACATACCAATCTTTAAATCACGATTTTTTTGTAAATACAAATGTCAGAAAATTAACAAATATACCATTCGAAAGATTATTAAATTCTGCGATTAATGATACATAACTGAAAATTTTAATAATGTATACAAAATTAGCAGCAATCGGCAAATTTGACAAAAAAAATTAAAAAATAAAATTTTTTCGGAAATTTTTTGAACCCCTGCACATTTTTTAAAAATTGTAGAAAAAATTTGAAACTTATATAGGTGTAATCATTCAAGTCTCATCTTTAATTTAAGGCCAAAAAAGTTAAAAAATCTTAATCGGTTATCGAGATATCATTATAAACGGCCGAGCATTTTCAGCCAAAAACCGTTCAAAATCGACTAACTCAATGCATTTGTCAAAAAACATGCTCCGACGTTTATAATGATATCTCACGAACCGAATAAGATTCTTAAACTCTTTTGGTCTTAAATTAAAAATGAGACTTGAATGATTACACCTATATAAGTTTCAAATTTTTTCTACAATTTTTAAAAAATGTGCAGGGGTTGAAAAAATTTCCAAAAAAAATAGTATTTTTAAAATTTTTTTGTCAAATTTGTCAATTGCTGCAATCTTTGTATAAATTATTAAAATTTTCAGTTATGTACCATTAATCGTAGAATTTAATAATCTTTCGAATGGTATATTTGTTAATTTTCTGACATTTGCATTTACAAAGAAATCGAGATTTAAAGATTGGCATGTTTTTAGGCCGTGCGTGTGCAGCCGTACCGATAATTCCCGACGGTAGTGTATATTTATTAATTGACCCTCTAAAGCAACCAAACTGCATTCTTTTTCGTAATCTCGCAATACTTTTCTTTAACGAATTTTTTATTTAAAATACAAAACATTTGCAATAAAATAATAATCATTTACACTTTATCAATATTGGCTGATTATAAATTGTGTTTAAATTTCATTGCATATGATGGACCATAAATAAAAAATGTATAAAACAAAATATGACAAGGTTAGGAAAAAAAAGTTCGAAACAATTCTTTTAGAGGTGCAACTTGAATACGAGCGATTCCACGTCAAGTGATCAAGAGGTCTTACGGTGCAATGTTTATTTTGATAATTTTTTACTCTTAAACAATTAAACATGAAAATTTGTCCGAGTACAGTTTCGAAAGGTTTTTTCATGCTCTTTCGATTGGAAATAAGCATTTTCAAAAAAAAATTTTTTTGACCTAAAAAAATCAAAATTAAAAATAAATTTTAATTTTTGGGGGGAAAGGATACGATTTTTTTTTTTTTATTTTTTAAACGAAAGCTGAGGTTTTTTCCTAAAAGAACATATATATGCAAAAGTGGGACTAGAATGTTTAAACATTGAAAAAAAGAGATTTCTGATGATCGGAGTGCTCAAAACCTGACATTTGCAAGGAATTTCATTCTTTATGAAAATAATTTAAATCTTGCAAAAAATGTTATTAAAACTTTTTAAAATAATTAATTCGATAATACCAGTCGGGTAAATTCCCGCGAAGAATTTTATTATTCATTAAAATAATTGGGTCAGTCCACTGACTTTCGTCTGAGAGTCGTTGCGACCATATTTTAAAAAAATCTAATTTTCATATATGTGAAACTCGATAATTTTCTGAGTTCATTAATCATAATATTATGTTACAAATTTTTATTTCGTTTATTAATATTAATTATCAAAAGTAGGTTCATGAAGTGATTTCGTAACCTTAAATTTTTCAACTTTTTAAAAGACGTTATTATTCAAAAACTATTAAATATTAGATGTTGGTACTTACCACAAATCGATACCTCAGTGTGATACAATCCTATCTTCTGGTAATACTTTAAACTGTCCCATCTCGAGGTGATGTTTTGTACCGTGCTATCTCTAATTTGACAGATTGTGGTATGAATAGAAAAAATAAATTACGGTACTTAAAATATTGATTACATACAAAACAATAATTTTTTTATATTTTAATAGATACTTTTTATCATAATATATAAAAATTGAGTGTGAATTAATAAAATTTAACCACTTTAATGCATTTAGAAAACAGCTAATACATTAACCCTACTTTTTGACAGCACGATACAAAGTATCACCTGAAGATAGGACTGTACAAAATATTACCAGAAGATAGGACTGTATTACACTGAAGTATCGAAATATAAATCTTTCCATTCTGCACGATCTAACGACCAAAATAAACTAAAAATTTTATTATTTGTAGACGAAAATTGCTTTTAAAAATTTATTTATCCAAAAAAATTACACTTTTTGTTTCACTTACAACTTTTTTTCGGACCTCTAAAAAATTCGGGGTTTTGCAAATATTTTTCTTAGAACATAATCTATCTTCTATTAAAATTTGACGAAGGTATTCTTCTTCATTTTTGAAATAATAATTATAAAAAATTTTGTTCAAAAAGGTTAATTATAATGCTTGAAATGAACAACGAGCATTGTTATTTTAGTGTCAATATCAACTTCAAGTCTTAGAACTAACCTTTTTGCATACAAAATTTTTATAATTATTATTTCGAAAACGAAGAAAAACACCTTCGTCAAATTTTAATAGAAGATAGATTATGTTCTAAGAAAAATATTTGCAAAACCCCGAATTTTTTAGAGGTCCGAAAAAAAAGTTGTAAGTGAAACAAAAAGTGTAATTTTTTTGGACAAAAAAATTTTTTTAAATCAATTTTCGTCTACAAATAATAAAATTTTTAGTTTATTTTGGTCGTTAGAACGTGCAGAATGGAAAGATTTATATTTGTGGTAAGTACCAACACCTAATATTTAATAGTTTTTTAATAATAACGTCTTTTAAAAAGTTGAAAATTTTAAGGTTACGAAATCACTTCGTGAACCACCTACTTTTGATAATTAATATTATTAAACGAAATAAAATTTGTAACATAATATTATGATTAATGAACTCAGAAAATCATCGAGTTTCACATATGAAAATTAGATTTTTTTAAAATATGGTCGCAACGACTCTCAGACGAAAGTCAGTGGACTGACCCAATTGCATACATAAATTTCCATTAAAATCTTTGAAAATAATTGTAATGTTTTTAGGGATTTTATTAAAATTTTAGAAAATAATTAGTTTCTTTAAAGTAATTTAATTAAAATTTCATTGAAAATAATTGAATTCATTCGAAAAATTTTATTAAAATTTTTAAAAACAATTGAATGCTTTTAAAAATGTTATAAATATTGAAAAGATTTGAATTCCAGCGAAGAATATAATTATTCATTAATAAAATGTCCCTTTTGTACAAAAGATATATAACCAGGTACAAATATTTACATTGAAAGCAAGAATCAATCAATTTTATCCATACTTTATCAAACGTGATAAAGTAATTGACATTTATAACTTTTGACTTTTTCATTTGAAAAAGCAATATAAAATCTATCGATTAGCACACTGAAAAAAATTTCTAGTATACTTGACTACTTTTTAACAACTCTGCGTGATTCAATATCACGCATTCCTCAACTGAATTTAAAAAGTTATATTGACTACCAAAAAGTAGTTAAAAGAACTAAGAATACTTTTTTTAGTCATCTGAACTACTATTCTTTAACTACATCAAAAGTAGTAAAATCAACTACACAAAAATTGTTAGCCTAACTAAAAAAGTAATTAATTTAACAACTTTCCACTCAACTAGGTAATAGTAGTTGAAGATTTGGACCAAATTTTTTTCAGAGCATAAAAACCTCAAAATTGATTTTTTATAGCTTAGCCGTATTTTGTCGTAGACTGTCACATATACCTATTTTTTTTATAGAAATGTATTTTTTTATCGGAAATATATATTTTTTAAAAATATTTCTTTAAGAATGAATAATAATAAAATGGCTAAAAAAAGATAATTGCCTTCTGATTGATTAGAGATCATTTGTCTTCCTTATAGGTGACAATTTTTTTTAAGGTGAAAAATACCAATTTTGAACGGCGCCCGTGCGGCGCTTTAGATGTATTTTGCGCGACGAGAAAGCATCATTAGTTTTACGATCGCGCTGTGAATTCAGATGAACTCCGTAAAAGGTCCTACAATGAGATGACGATAAATTTCATATTCTATTGCAAATACATTCTCGCCTTATGACATAACCGAGCCAGTTGTTGGTAATTTAATAGTTGTTTGCGAGTCAATTTAGAACTTCTATTATGTAAAATTTTAGCTGCCAATTTCAAACTTTAAAAAAAGAATTGAGTCATTTCCCGAGTAAAGAGAATTTAACAAACTATTTCACGCCATTGAAAATTAAATAAAATCTCAAAAGAAAGCAATAGAAAAAAAATGTTTTTCCCCTTATTTTTTAAATAAGGCAATTTAGATTTAAATATCCAATAAAATTTTCACAGCATAATAACAAAATTGAGAAAATAATTTTCTTTTTATTCCTCAAACATGAAAAATAGTAGTTGGATACTTTTATTGATACTTGCTTTCAATTTCAATTCAAATAAAAAGAATGAAATAAAATTATATTTTTACTATAAAACTTACCCTTAGTCGAAGATCGCTAACTGTCCAAACCCGGCTTGCAAAATCGTTCGAGGCTCCCAATATTAGTGTTCCTGTTGTGTCGAAATCCACAGACATAACGCCGGCATTACTTCCCACTAGCATTCCTTTACACTCAAAAGCACCTGCAATCATTTTTATCAGAATAAGAACAATTTTTCAATGCCTTAATTACTTTAAACTAGATTTATATTCCGAACCGAAATTAGGAAAATTTCTTTTGAATTTTATATGCAATTATGTCAAGAAAATTTAAACAAATATCTCAATTCTGAATTTCGATAAAACATTTTGTAATTGTTACTACACTTAGTATTCATAAAGAAACAATTTTTAGAAATTTTTAAGAATATTCATAATAAAAATCGATATTTTCCAGTAACGAGAGACAATAACACAAGAAAATATTTTCCTTTTTGAAAATTTTTCCAAAGCATTAACAAAAGTCTCCAGTGTCATTGCAATGCAAAGGAGAAAAAAAATTGAAAGGTAGAATAAAAACAAAAGTCCGCTTTTAATTGTATCTGGTGAAAGATAGCGACAGGGAATATTCAACCTGTTGATTCATTAATATACTTCATTAGGCAGAATGGGCAATGGGACAAGAGAAGACGCAAACTTTTTTTCCTTATTTTTTTGAAATTTTTGCATTTTTTCAATGCCATTATGATATTGATTCTGCGAAGATTGTCATTGTCTTTGAAAATGTTTTCCTTTATAACATTCGGAGAGCACCTGCACACACAAGTTACATGGAGCACTAAGATAGCTGTCGATTGTTTCTTTTCTTTCGCGTAAATGGACTTTGTTTAATGAGGATGAAACGAGGAGAAAGAACGGAGATGAAGAAGAAAAAAAATTGAAAGAACGAAAAAAAGAAGATGCCATGTAACAACTATCGCTGCGTTCCATGCGTACTTCTTCGTTTCGCACTGGAATGAGAACTAGTTCTATAATTCAGTCGACTTTGCGGCACAAATTTAAATAATAACAAGGCCATTAAATAAATTTCATCTAGCGACAATCGTGCTCTACAAGCCATTCTTTTGTCGTTAAATTAAACCTCTTCTTTCTTTAAGGCTCTTATCATGACTCAGATCTATCACTCGGCCTTAAAGAAAAATAAAAGAATGGAATTTATAGCTAGTTAAAGGGCTAATTCTGTATTTCTATGAAATTCCATTTTTTCAATCACTAATAGATAGATTAAAATTAATTGTTTAATATTAAAGATCAATACAATTTTCCTAGTATTTTAATTCATCAATTTCAAAGTGGTTTTTTTTACAATTCGAATTTTTTAGGAACAAAATTTAATCAGGGTTTCTAAAAATTTCTCCTTGTGAAACTCCATGACGATTTCATGATTTCCATGTGATCAATGATAGAATTTCCATAATAGATAATGCAAAACTCAATATAAACATAAACTAGATAGATTGTAACAAATTAAAATATTGAAAATAGACATAATCCACTTTTGATCGTTCAAAGGAACGAAATATTTCCAAAAATTACTAATTGCAATAAAAATTGAAAACTTATATTTTACCTTTAGAAAATTCATAAATTATTTTTTTTCATACATGACGTAATATTATTGTAATAAAATTTTAACTTGAAGAAATAAATAAATTTCGTTTAGAACTTTAGAAACATAAATAGACAATTTAGTAGAAACTGTCGGAATGAGACTCGATTTTTGAATTTTCTTTTACATTAAACATTGTTTGATAAAAATTGTTATTACTCATTTTTATAAAATTGTAAAAATATTATAAAATTGAAAAATCCGAGTGTCATTCCGATTTCAATAGTAAGAAAAATTTGCTATTTAATTAACAATATTTCTGTTAAAATCATTTGATAGAAGATTATTTCTTGTTTTAAATTTTTTTTTGTTTTATGATTATATTTAACACAATTTTCATAAAACAATATCTACTGAACGAAATTTCTGTTTAATCGAAATTAAATTATCCCGAACTTTCGCTGATCCGTATTTTTATTTAACAGAATTTCTATTTATCACAATTTTTATTTAAAAGAATTCCGATTTAACCGAATTTATTTAACTTACAAATATTTAATTTATTTATAATTTATTTAACCGAACTTTCATTAATTAGATTTCTCATTCAAAAAGAATTTTTGATTCAGTCGAATTTTTAAATGACAAAATTCTCATCTCACCTAATCTTCATTTGTCAGAATTTTTATTTGTGCGAATTGCCAATCCATACACGAAAAAATGTTTGGGACAGTATCTGTACCTTTTGGTGCATTGGTTATCCCTGTATAAAAAATTTAATATCCAATTCACTTCACACTAATTATTTCCAATTGTTTTTATATGAAGTGAAGTTAATTGTTGGATAAATTTTTTGAAAGGTAGGGGAACATAGTCGAGGTCGGCCCACTTTTGTTTATAACTTTTTTTTAAAAATGAATTTGGACAATTGAAGTATATATGGTTGGAAAGTCCTGTTTAATAGGAACATCTTTTCTGTACAAAGTAAATTGATTGGTTTTAAAATGAAAAAGCTATAAAGATTTAAAAAAAAAAAAATTTGTAGTCCAGGTTGGTCCTTACAGTCAAGATCGGCCATGTTTAAAATTCAAAGGGCATTAATCGTTAAAAAATAAAATAACATGTTTGGAGTTACGGAAAATTGATTCTTTATTGTTTACAGTTTGTAATTTAATGAAATAACAAAATAATAAAAATAAACAATATAAAAAAATAAATATAAATAAAAAAAAATTTTGCACTGAAATATTAATAAAATTAAATAAAAATATTAATAAGATGATCAATTATATTATGAGTTATACAGAATTGCAGTTTTTGCAAATGAAGTAGCTCGTCCTCATCTTTGCGCATTTTAAACACATAGTGGCCGACCTTGACAGTAAGTAACATTACCGAATTGTTGTAACCATAAAGAAATACGTTTCGGGATTCGATTTTTTACTTTGTTTTTCTTTCAACCATGAGTCCCACAAATTTTCTGCATACTTACCTTGACGATTCAATTTGTTTTTTATCTTTTATTAATGGTTTTTTACATGATGCACAAAACTTTTTTTGAGCTTTTTTTGTACCGACGTCACAGAAAACACAATTTTCGATTCTCCGAAAATGTAATTGAACAAAAAGTTAGGTTCCACTAAGACAAGCTTCGACAAGCATGCGCGTAGGTGGCGCTAGTGAACTTGACAAAAAAACGCGAATGGCCTACCTAGACAGTGGTCCAACCTCGACTATACTCCCCTATAGCATGTGCACCTTACATTTTTCCGTGTAGAATTCTTAAAATGACAAATTTTCATTTAAAAAACTTTCATTCAACCAAACAAATATATGACAGAAAAATTTTGTCAAAAATCAAAAAATTTAACAATTACAATTTTCTTGATAACATTTGATTATAGTTAATGAAGATGCTGTCAAATGAAAATTTATCATTTTAAGAATTCTGTTAAGGGGGAGTTACACCTTTGACTCGAAAAAAAATCGATTTTTTTTTTTTTGCTTAAACGATACTTTATAATGTGTAGAATAGAAATTATATCATGCGAAGTGATTTTGAAGTTATTTTATGTGAAAAAAATCAAAATCTGCAAAAGGTGTCCAAGAGCGCTTCAAGTGCTTTCAAAACTTTAAACGCGTTTTTCTCGAAATGACGTTTTTCAAAACGGTGGACAGTCTAGCTCGAACAGTTTTGATCGGATTGACTTCGGCCAAAGTTTTTTTTGTTCGTCATTTACTAATGCTTTAGAGTACGTAGCGGATTTATTTTTGGTTTGTTTTCTTTTTTTGGCAATAGATTTTTTGAGAAAATTTAGCCCTAAAAACCGACTTTTTCCTTCAAACAGCTACCAAATTCACAAAAATTAATATTTTTAAAATATCCTACGTACTCTAAAGCTAAATCTATCACAGATTCAGAAAAACTTTGAATTTTTGTTTTAGATTAAACGGTCTAACCGAAATATTGTCCACCGATTTGCTCTGCAGAGAAACAGGACCAACTTTGGCGCCCTCTATAGGCTACAAATTTAAACTTTTTTTAAGTGTAAATATATTTTTGTAAACTTCAAATCATAACAAATAAAGTCCCTGAAACCAAATTTTGTTTACTTTATTCCTGTGTGTTAAAAAAATTCTTGAAAAACAGGTTCAAAAGAGACCTCAAAGGTGTAACTCCCCCTTAAATGACATTTCGTGCTAAATGAAAATTCGCTTAAAGAGCAATTCTACTAAATAGAATTTCTGATGATTATAAATTCTGTTAAATAGAAATAATGCTGAATAAAGATTTGATGAACTAGATAATCTGCAGTAAAAATGTTTAATAAAACAGAAATTCTATAAATAAATAAAATCAGTAAATTAATATTCTTTTTGAATAAAAATTCGAACTATTTATTTAGAATTTTCATGCGCTCAAAAATTTTCACAATCTGATCAGAATTTTCATGAGATTTCTATGATTCCACGAACTAAAATAATTTCCCATGACTTGTAGACACCCTGATAATGTTTCCAAAAATCTCAAAACCATACGAGTAAAAATTATTCTAAATCGCAATTTCTCGAAAAATTATTATTAAGAATTAAGAAAAGAAAGATTTAAATATTACCTTTCGAAATGTCCCACAATTTTACTTTTCGATCAGCACCTCCAGTTGCAAGGATTCTATCGACAGGAGACCATCTCACCGCATTCACTTCTCCATCATGTGCATTCTACAAGATTAAAATTACTTGAAATTCTATTGTTGAGTAAAAGTATTTAAAGCACATGCCAATATTAAAAATCTAGCACAAATGAAAATGACAAGCGTGAGCGTTAAAAAAAACAGAAAATAGTTTCTATCACGCATTAAATCCACTTTTATGACACTTCAATAATTATATTATTCAAATAATACATAAATGATGATTTTAATACAACTTTTTATCACTACATAAAATGTTACGTCTTTTTATCGCGTTTATTCTATATTATAAAACGGTGAAAATGAAACTTCTACCAAAGTAAACGACTTTCATACGAAGAAACATAATGGCTTCACATTAAATTATTCTTATTACGAGACTACTTGAAACACTACATTATTACTTTTGAAAGTGGAAAATAGAGATTTGTTACCTTCAAAATAAACGACGTAAAAACTTTACAAAAAAAGTGTACAATTAAACATTTAGACAGCTACACACAATTGTAGAGAATTAATAGAAAAAGTTCAATTTCAAACACAAACGAAAAAACAAGAAAAAAATACTCTCGAACGTTTGTCATCCTTTTACACGGCTATTAAATTTTTTTTGACGATAAAAAAAACGGAAAATAAAAACTCGAGTATTTTATGATAATATAACAGTATAAAAATTATTTATTACAATTATTTCCCTACTTTCATTGTTTAAAAACATACTATTAACATTTCTTTCTTATCTCAATTTAAATTTTAATTATTCAATTAAACTATGAAATTATGCGTTTTCTTATTTAATCTCTAACTTGTTTATTTCTTCCAATGAATTTTAAAAATTAATTTCATTTAATATTTATAAACCTTTAAATGAAAATTAAAAATTCTTTATTATCATTGTCCAACAGTATAAATATAGTTATTTAACAATAATAATTATTAATGTTTAAATAATTTTACGTCCGTTTATTAAATATTTTGTCAAATTAATTATTAATGTTATTTAGAGTTTAAATATAAATCATAAAAAGTTTCCTGACATTTTTTTTAAAGTTATACTTCGCTTGTAAATTTAGAAAATAAATTACAGTTAATTTAATGGCAAATGTTCTATGAAACTTTTGGTAAAACAGTTGAGATTATGAGAGTGCCAAGTTTGGAATACGATACTTGTTGCTAAACCACACGACTTAAAGTCGCACAGTCTTTACACGATTAATGTCAAGTTATAACTTAATGTCAAAATTTACATGTATAACATTTCACACTTGCCAAAAGATAAATAAGTACCCAATGAGTCCCAAACAAGAAACTAGTTTTGGATTTCATTAGCAAAAAACTTAATATATCTTTTTTTTTGCATATCACAGAAGACTGATTAGTTTACTTTAAACCTAATTTCTATAATAAATTATTATCATTATTATTATTGCTATTACTATTGAAATTAATATTATTATTGTTAATCCTAGCATTGAATAATAAATAACAACTCAGAAGTGTTAAAGTACTTGCTGATTGGATTAATTAACACAAAATAATTTAACGATTTAAAACATTAGATATTAAAAACTGTGAATGAATGAAACATGCAAATTAGTTTCTAAATATTGAAAACTTTTACAAAAATCACATTTTTGGAGGGGAAATTAATTCCCCATTACACAATAAACAGATTTCAATTTTATAAAAATTTTCAATTTTTGCTGAAAATATAAAAATTATTCTGACATTATTTCGTAGCGTCGAAATTGTAAATGTGATTTCAACCTTCTTATAAAGTACAAATTAATAAAAAGTTCATTTAATTTTATAAACTACTCGTAATATATAATCGAAAATAATTTTAATGTCTAGAATTAATTTATTATTTATAATTAATTAACTAAAAGTAATTTCTAACATTCTTCAGATTAACATAAAACTACTAAACTATTTTTCAATCTTTATATTTTAATAAAAACACCTACTAAAGAGTAATCAAATCAGAATCTTTTTTTAAATAAAAACTTTCTCATATTTATCCTTAAATAAATAATTAGATTCCGCTTTGAATACATATTTTCGTGCATTTTTATGACAAACTAAATAGGTTATTATGAAAACTAAATTAAAACAAACATAATATTAATTATGAAATGAAAATTTAGTTTCTATAAAACTCACTCATTCTAAGAAAAACAAAAATTTTCAATACCAAATAATAATTTAAACAATAAAATACGTACCATTCAAAAAAATATATTTAAAGTTATCGTTAAACAAATTGTGCAGAAATACAAATTTTCATTTTTAAAAGTAGAATTTAACTCAACTAATAAACTTGACTTTTTAATTGATGTAAGAAACGGAATAAAGTTCTTTTTAAAGGTATGCTAGCTAATTACTATTTTAAATTTCAAGCGTCAGTAGTATGTGTCTATAAAACTGGTCTATTTACAAAATAAATTTCTTTGAAACTTTAGTTGCACAGTTTAGTTATAAATAAATAACATATTTAAAGGCAATATTTCTTAAGAAAAATTCTTAAAATCTAGAATCAATAACAGTTTTATAAAAACTTATATTATGAGATTATAAATATAACTATTTTTTAAATATTTCAAAATTTTCGAAAATTGTTACCTATTAATTTTAAACCTATATCGATGAAAATAATATGCAACATATAATTATATTTATTGTAGACGACTTGTGATTTAATTCAGATTATACATTCACATTCGCCGATAAATTAACGACACATTACAAAATAATGTACAGAACAACTTAAACTAATCGGCAATTGAAACTACTTATTTTTATTCTTGAAAATAGAACGAATTTAAAACAGTTAATAAACAGTTTTGACGTGTCGTATATAAGTAAATAAACTTTCCCTGTATATAACAATTAATTTTAAACAAACCTTGAAACATCAATTTTGAAAATGTTATAATACGTAGGTATTTTTGGAATTTTCGACAATTTTCTCTGAAGTTCAAGTTTGTAGAATTGTATTTACATTCAAAGATAATAGAATTCTTTTTACGTTCAATATTATGAATGTAATTATTTGCAAAAATAGTGACTTTATTGAACAATATTTAAAAGTATTTATAAACGAAATAGAATAAATAAATTTATAATTATTCAAAGAAAATTACTGGCTTCTTATTTTGTAAATTTTTTTCTCTTTTGAAAGCAGAATTATAAAAAAATATAAAGTAAAAAAATAATTAATATTTTTATATGAATTTTTGAACGTAATTTAATAAATACGAAAATTACTCTTCTCTTTTCTTCAAAAATTACATTTCTTCTCGCAAAAATTGTACCATAGAAAATATCACAGAAAATCAACAGCAATTTCGTTAAAGTTTTACAAATGTTTACAAATTCCAACGAAATTACAAAAATCACATTTAGATTTTATCAATAAATCTAATTTTGTTTTTACAACTTAAAATACAAAGAAAAGGTAGTAAATATTTTTTTGATATTTAGATTCAGTCTGCAAAAAGTCTATAATCAATAAAATAGACTTAAAATTTATCAATTTTACTACTACTTTACTTTTTGAAAAATATATATGTCGTAGGCAACTAGAAGAATCCGGCATTAAGCTTAATTCCTAGGCAATAAGCTTACTGCCGGCAATTAGACGAATACACGACAAAATCGTTCAGATTTGTCTATTTGCCTAGACAGTAAGCTTAATGCCCGGCAGTAAGCTTATTGCCCGATGAAGATTCGGCAATTAGACGAATCACATTAGAATCCATTTGCAGTGCACAAACGTCCTATAAAAAATTAATTAAAAACAATAATAATAATAAATCATTCTGGACAGAATTAAATATTTCTTGGGTAAAAAAAATATTTCTTGAGTCTAATAAACATTTCTTGGATCAATTAAATAATTCTGGACAGAATTAAATATTTCTTGAGTAAAAAAAATATCTCCTGAGTCAAATAAATAATTTTTTTACTTTTGCATAAAGAAAAATATTTCTCGACTAAAATAAATTTTGTTTAAGTCTATCAAACAATTTTTGACTAAAATATTCCTTTAGTGAAATAAATATTTATTGAGTCAAATAGAGATTGTTTGATTTAAATAAATATTTCTTGACTCAAATAAATGCTTCTTGACTCTTATAAATATTTGTTATCATTGAGAAATATTTCTTGAGTCTAATAAATATTTTTTGACTCAAAAAGAAATAATTCTTGGATGAAAAAAAATATTTCTTAGGAAAATATAAATTATTTATTTGACTCAGGAAATATTTTTTTTACTCAAAAAATATTTAATTCTGTCCAGAATTATTTAATTGATCCAAGAAATGTTTATTAGACTCAAGAAATATTTTTTTTACCCAAGAAATATTTAATTCTGTCCAGAATGATTTATTTCAGTTAAGAAATGTTTATTTGACTCAAGCAATATTTATTTTAGTCGAGAATTATTTATATGAGTCAAGGAATATTATTATCATTATTATTATTATTATCATTATTATTGTTTTTAATTAATTTTTTATAGGACGTTTGTGCACTGCAAATGGATTCTAATGTGATTCGTCTAATTGCCGAATCTTCATCGGGCAATAAGCTTACTGCCGGGCATTAAGCTTACTGCCTAGGCAAATAGACAAATCTGAACGATTTTGTCGTGTATTCGTCTAATTGCCGGCAGTAAGCTTATTGCCTAGGAATTAAGCTTAATGCCGGATTCTTCTAGTTGCCTACGACATATATATATGTATATATAGCCAATAATTTTCTTTTTGAAAAATTGACAATTAAGATTAATTAGAAGCTATCAGAAATTCATTAACGTACAAATTTGATGGAGACGTTGGTGGGAACTGCGGTGGGAAGACTAACAATTCCTTCTTTGACACTTAGTCGATCAGGACTAACTGGTCTTGTATCACGTGCTGCATCCTCTAATTCCTTCTGCATTTTTGCTTGCCTCTTCCTGTGAAATATCAAGCAAAATTAGTACAACAAGAATAGAAAAGAATTAAACAAAAACCTATAAATCAATCAAAAATATTCTTATACATGTGTATTATAGAAATAAAAAACCAATTCATGAGTCAAGCAATTTTAAAATTATTAAAACAAAAAGAATATATCTGGACTTAGAAGTGGAAAAAATCATTATTATTGAATAAGAAAATTTAAAAATACTATTGTATAGTTTTCCAGAACGAAAATAAAACTACAAAGTGTCACCTTTCTTTTAACACGCAACAAATAATTTAGTATGTAGAAATTTATTACAGAAAATACTTTGTAATTTTCAATCAATTTTTGTCGAATCAATAATTTATCGGAGTGAAAATTTCTAAAAGAAAAATATTTTAAGACTTTTCCTTTTTCAAATAAAGTTGTCCAGTTATTTTCAAAATTATTCTCATTTTTTTTTAAATAATAATGTAATGCAAAATAACAAGAAAATGTTATTTGCTACAAATTATTTTAAAAATTAAATTAACTTAATATTGTAAATATACAATTATGTTGGTAGAAATATTGTAACAATTCTACGTTGTTTGTGGTATAGCAATTTTTTCCAAAATTTTACAATTCTGCAAAAAAGCAGCAATTTCTTGAGCTTATACATAGAACATTAATAATAATTGTTATTATAATTATTATAAATTTGCTGACATTGCTCAAATGCATTTGCAGGCCTCAAATTGTAGTTCGATAGCAGGTAAATTTTACAATTGTTATTAAATTACATACAAAAGCAAAAAAAATAATATATTTTACATTACATAATTATTATAATAATTATTAATATACATTACATACATTACATAATAAGTTACAAAAACTTGTTAAAAGTACATAGTAAATATTTCTTTTCAATCTGAAACCACAAAGTTATTATAATTTTCCAATTGTCAGTGACATAAAAAAATCAAATTATCCTAAAAACACTTTTTTAAATAACTATTCTTAATCCTATTAGAAGACACACAAATTTCACTTCGTGAAGTTGTCAATTGCATGCGTTTCTTTAGAAGTACCTCATTATTTACAAAAACTAATAATTACTCAATCCTTCACCTATCAGAATGTTATTTTTTTCATGCAAACTGAAAGCTTATTTTTTTACAAATCGAAACACTTGCTTCTTTCATCTATTTAAATTATTAAATATTTTTCCTGTATGTAAAATATTATACACAATATTGATTTTTATTGTAAATTTTTTCAACTTTAAAATCAAGTAAATATTTAAAAAATAAATATACCTCTGTAAAATTACTTCAAAAAACTTTTATTTTTCATTATAAAAATAAACTTTCATAAATCATTCTTTTTCATTTCCTTTTAATCGGAAAATTTTACTTTTTTTATAACTGAAAGTAAAATTATTTAAATATTTAAAGAATATTATACAATTATTAATCAGGCAAATAAAACATGCAAAAATAAAAATAATTTACAGAACTTATAAAAAGCAGACTGTTAAATTATCAATATTTACATTCGAATTAAAAAAATTCTATTAGAGTGTAACAAAAAATCAATTATAATTTTTTCTAAGTTTTCAATGTAATCATAAAATATAAATAAAACAGACCTGCTTTTAATTTATCAACACATTTTTGTTAATACACATGTTAATAAAAATTGTAATATATACATTATCTCTTTTCCTCTGCGAAAAATCAATCCTAAATGGGTCTCCAGTGGAAAAAAAAATAAATAAAAAACGTGTATATTTTGCTGACCAGCCCAAAAGCTATTTTAGCATTAAGCATGACATTTCAATTCAATAAAATTTTGTCACTTCGTCAAACTTACCCAAACTTTGAAATGGTATGCATCAAAAAGGCTGTCGGGCTGGTAAAACTCTCACTGAAACGAAAATGTCAGGCAGTGTGAAGTAGCTAGAGCAGCAAGCTCTAGTGAAATGTTCTTTTCTTTGTATTCAGCCATGCTTCTAATATTAGAGGATAGAATTTAGCTAAACAGTGAAATACTAAAATTTTATAATAACCTAAGGCGACTCACGTGGGGAAAAATTAGATATTAATTTACAGGATGCAATCAATTATGTCACCGAAAAATTTACTTTTCATAATGTTCAAATTATCTTAAATCTAATCACCAACTTTAATTGTTTTATTTCACTTTTACATTGACAAATTATTATTTTATCATTTTCGAATTTTAACGACCAGCAATTCTGAAGAATGTAAAATGTTTAATTAACGCTAATTATTACCTACCAATCTAATTAATAGTTCAAAATTAATTAAGAAATTATAATTCTGTAATTTTTCTTAACTATTCATTTTGATAAAATTAGATAAAAATATACAAAATTTTATGAATTTTGAAAAGTGGAAACCAAAATGGTATAAAACAAACGACAGAAAAAAAATTAAAAAATTGGAGACAAAGTATTTAGAAAATCTAAAAATAGAATTAATTAACAACGTTGGTAAAATTCACGTTTATAATCAACAATTTTAAAAAAAATTTGTTTATATAAATTTTTGTTTAAATAATGTTTTACATATCACTCGATCAGTTATTTAAAAACTATTTTTTAAAACAAAAATTGTATAATTTTACGCTTGAGAGAAATTTTTTTTTAAATGTTAATCATAAACGGTGTGATTTTTACTGAAGTAATTAATAAACAAAGTCAAATAAATTTTAAAGAGTATTAAATTAGTAGTTTAATTAATTAACTATTTCTTTTTAATTTATTTTATTAATTATTTAATTCGTTATTAAAATCAAAATAATAAGAACATTATAAGAAAATAAAATTCATAAGTTACAAACCAATTTGTAAATTATTTAAGTATTGAAATTAAAATAGTGTAAACTTTTCAACAAAAAAATAAAAAAAGCTATTATTTATAAGAAAAATGAGTGGGTAAAATAAATTTTAAATCGTTACCATTGGAAATAATTGGTTTTAAAACGAAGGGTAAATAAGTATTAGTTAAACTATTTCTTTTCCGGGAAAATAGCTATTATTCGAACTATGTATTACAAACATGCAAACTAAAGTTATGCTCTCTATGTGGTATTTACAACCGTACTTACGAAACTTATCCCAATTCTATTTTGAAAATCACGAGCTATAAATGATTAAAAAGTAATTCATTCAAAAGTTAAAAATACCAACCCTATATTCTCCCTTAAGATTAGGTCTAAACGAGAACTCATAAAATACCCATAAGGAAATATCTAAAAATAACCGAAATTATCAAACAGCTAAAAATAGCTGCAATTGAATTTCTAGAAAGAATTTAAATTAAATAATTCAAAATTACTGAAATTAAATAAATGAAAATAACTAACTTAAATAATTGATAATCTAAAAATAGCTATAAGGAAATAGATAAAGATAAAAGCAATTAAATAATTATAAACCAGAAAAATAATTACGATGACCAACAAAAATATTTGTAAATATAATTTTGTAAATAAATAATTTAAATAACTTTGTATAAAAAAATTAATTAAAATAATTAAAAAATATCTGTATTGGTAATTTCCTTATCAGAAACCCATTATTTCAAGAAATAAATTACCATGCAGAATTAGTAACACGAGAAAACTACCACCCAGCAACTAGAATCAGTTTGCTTTTCAAATAACTAAAATTGACGTGACAATCTAATTAAGCTTTGCAACATAAAGGAAATATTGGGACGTATCGGAAGAAACGCTTATGAAGCAAATTCATTTTCTTTGAACTGTCAATTTCCATAAATCTGTGTAACTTCGAAGGTTGTGAGTAGAAAATCCTAAACGTCAATGACGATAACACGATATTGACAAAAAGTCACTAACACATAGTACTTGAAACAACATTCATTGATTTTCTACTTACTTCAAGAAATTATCATTTTCTTCATTCATTTTATCTGCATCTTTGGCTTTATATTTAATTAAACGCTCCACCAATTGACGATTTTCTTCCTAAAAGTTGTTAATAATTATATTTCCTTTTTTTCTTTTTAAAATTCAATTTTTTTAACAATACGTATTCAATGTTATTTACACTAGACTGAAGTCCGCAACGTTATTATTTATTAAAAACAAAAAATCAAAGAATACATTTTTTTCAAGTTAAATTGATCTCTAATCTTCAAATTTTTTAGAAATTAAAATTACTTAATAATTGTTATTTAAAAGAAAATTTTTGAACAATAACATGAATTTGAAACCAAAATGAAATAAATCGTCACTTTATTTTTTTGTTTTCGTATTTAAAAATGTTGCGGACTTCAGGCTGATAAAAATTACTGTATTTAAAAACTGAAAGAATATCTCTAGTACTCAGACTAATTTTTTAAATATTTAAAATTACAATTTATTATCTTAAAAACGTTGCGGACTTCAACCTTATGAAAGACTAATTTTTAAATTATTTAAAATTACAGTTTAATACTATATTTATACACTACCGTCGGGAATTATCGGTACGGCTGCACGCGCACGGCCCAAAAACATACCAATCTTTAAATCACGATTTTTTTGTAAATACAAATGTCAGAAAATTAACAAATATACCATTCGAAAGATTATTAAATTCTGCGATTAATGATACATAACTGAAAATTTTAATAATGTATACAAAATTAGCAGCAATCGGCAAATTTGACAAAAAAAATTAAAAAATAAAATTTTTTCGGAAATTTTTTGAACCCCTGCACATTTTTTAAAAATTGTAGAAAAAATTTGAAACTTATATAGGTGTAATCATTCAAGTCTCATCTTTAATTTAAGACCAAAAAAGTTAAAAAATTTTAATCGGTTATCGAGATATCATTATAAACGGCCGAGCATTTTCAGCCAAAAACCGTTCAAAATCGACTAACTCAATGCATTTGTCAAAAAACATGCTCCGACGTTTATAATGATATCTCACGAACCGAATAAGATTCTTAAACTCTTGTGGTCTTAAATTAAAGATGCGACTTGAATGATTACACCTATATAAGTTTCAAATTTTTTCTACAATTTTTAGAAAATGTGCAGGGGTTGAAAAAATTTCCAAAAAAATTTTATTTTTAAAATTTTTTTGTCAAATTTGTCAATTGCTGCAATCTTTGTATAAATTATTAAAATTTTCAGTTATGTACCATTAATCGTAGAATTTAATAATCTTTCGAATGGTATATTTGTTAATTTTCTGACATTTGCATTTACAAAGAAATCGAGATTTAAAGATTGGCATGTTTTTAGGCCGTGCGTGTGCAGCCGTACCGATAATTCCCGACGGTAGTGTATATTTATTAATTGACCCTCTAAAGCAACCAAACTGCATTCTTTTTCGTAATCTCGCAATACTTTTCTTTAACGAATTTTTTATTTAAAATACAAAACATTTGCAATAAAATAATAATCATTTACACTTTATCAATATTGGCTGATTATAAATTGTGTTTAAATTTCATTGCATATGATGGACCATAAATAAAAAATGTATAAAACAAAATATGACAAGGTTAGGAAAAAAAAGTTCGAAACAATTCTTTTAGAGGTGCAACTTGAATACGAGCGATTCCACGTCGAGTGATCAAGAGGTCTTACGGTGCAATGTTTATTTTGATAATTTTTTACTCTTAAACATTTAAACATGAAAATTTGTCCGAGTACAGTTTCGAAAGGTTTTTTCATGCTCTTTCGATTGGAAATAAGCATTTTCAAAAAAAAAAAATTTTTGACCTAAAAAAATCAAAATTAAAAATAAATTTTAATTTTTGGGGGGAAAGGATACGATTTTTTTTTTTTTTTTTTTTTTTTTTTTTTTTTTTTTTTTTTTTTTTTTTTTTAAACGAAAGCTGAGGTTTTTTCCTAAAAGAACATATATATGCAAAAGTGGGACTAGAATGTTTAAACATTGAAAAAAAGAGATTTCTGCTGATCGGAGTGCTCAAAACCCGGTTTTTGGCTCCATTTGGTAGAAATATCTTTTCTTCAGTGTTTAAACATTCTAGTCCAACTTTTGCATATATATGTTCTTTTAGGAAAAAAACCTCAGCTTTCGTTTAAAAAAAAAAAAAAATCGTATCCTTCCCCCCCAAAAATTAAAATTTATTTTTAATTTTGATTTTTTTTGGTCCAAAAAAAATTTTTTTTTAAAATGCTTGTTTCCAATCGAAAGAGCATGAAAAATCCTTTCGAAACTGTACTCGGACAAATTTTTATGTTTCATTGTTTAAGAGTAAAAAATTATCAAAATAAGCATTGTACCGAAAAACCCAAAACTTTCATCCCCTCCCCCTCGGAAAATATTTGACTAAATTAAAAAATATTTTAACCAAAAATCACTATCCACTAGTACTACAAAAGCCCCAAGTTTAGGCACGATTGGAGAAAAATTTTTTTCCACCTTGATCACTTGACATGGAATCGCTCATACATGAAACTGAAACTATTATTTAAATTTAGAAAAAAGTTTCTTAGAAATAATTTGTTACGTACTTTAATTCTTTCAGATTTAAAATATTGAATAATGGAGAAGAATTAAAATAGATTAACTAAAAGCAAACCTGAGCTTTCCTGAGTTTTTCTTCCAAAGAGGCGAAAGCAAGTTGTAAAGCTTGATGTTCGTCTTTCAGAGTTTGATTGATATTTTCCAATTCCTTCTCCTTCATTACGTACTTTGAAATATCAAGACGCAACGTATTGTTAAATTCCATAGTTTCTGCAAGACTAAATTTTTCCATTTTTATTAATACAAATTATTTAATATATAATTTTGATGACGAATTGAAAAATACGTCATATAAAATAAATTTTAATTATTTTAGAAATATTTGAATATTTAATAAAAAGTACCTATAATTAGAAAAATATATTTACTTTAAATAAAAAGTTTATTTTTTAATTTATAAATTTCTTGTTTAAATTATATGAATGTTATGAAAAAATAAAATACTATTACCTTGTTTCTTTAGTTTGAAGTTCTTTTTGAAGAACTTGCAATTTATTATTGAGATCTACTATTTGTTGTGTATGTTCTCCTCGTCTCCTGTGTAAAGTTGCCAATTCTTCAGCTTGTGCCAATAAACGTGCTTCGACATTTGTACCTGCTCCAGTACTTCCACCCACTGCAATTTCTCGACACAGCTTTTCATTTCTTATAGATAATTGTATATTCTCGCCTCTCAATGTGTTGGCACTCTCAAAGAGTCGATTATCTAAAAACATACCAAAAAAATTAGGACAATAGTAAAAAAAAGTATTTTTAAAATTAAAATTAAGATCTACCATGTAAAATATGAATAAATTTTTTTATAAATAAAGAAAAAGATATTAATTAGTAATTATTATATTAATTATAATTTATAGTAAAAAAATTATAAATATTAAATAATCAAAAGCAAATTACATTAATTACATTAATTAAAATTTCCTAAGACTTCTAAACCAATAACCAGTTTTTTTAACAGAACAAATTTATTTATTTTCAGTCAGAAAATATAAAAAAATATTAAATACTTACTTGATATTATCATAAAACAATCAATTCTATTTTTTTACAAAACAAAAACATTATTGACATATATAACACGTACATTAGTATTGAGAAATACAAAATAAAACGAAAAATATGAGAATTAGAAAATTGTAATCATTCTTGAAACATAATTATGTATAATTCTGCATAAGTAATTAATTATATACTTACGTAAACTAATAAGATCTTGAAAACATTGAGTCTGAGATCTATTTCGTTCTCTTAATTGAGAAATAATATCCTTCTTCCATCTCATATCTTCTCCAGAGTGATGTTGCATTGCTTCTCCACTAGCCATATTTTCACTTTTTTTTTGTTAATAATAAAAACAATTAATTTCTTGAAAAATTGTCACAGTGTCACGAAATTAAACTAAAAACTTAAACGACACGTAAATAAACACGAAACATATAAACGTATGTCAAAAATTATAAACGAAAAATGTTCTTTTCACAATAATGTTAGAATAAATTTTTCGGTAATGTCAGATTTTCATAAGTGTCACAATTTTTACTTTTGCTAAGTTTATAACATTCACGGGACATTCCGATTCCTAGATCACTTTCGAAATTCGTATTTATATTATATGATTATTCTAACCTAAACGTGAAAACACTAATAATAAAAATCCCAGCACCACCGCAATGATACCGAGTGAAGTATGTCGCAGAGCGATATCGATACTTGAGAATCGAGATACTGAATGGCGAAAGGCGCGTATTTTGAATTTATGTTTACCATAATTTCTCTGCCGGATAAGTGCACTATAACATTTCATCAAGCAATACCTAGAAAAATTTTGTCAAAATAACCCAAATGTCATTTAAATAAAATAAATCTAAAATTTCTACTTTTTCTACTCAATATTGAAATAATGTTGAGAAATAACCTAAAAAATCTAAAATTTTATATATTTTGGAAGTACATAATTCGAGACGCATGCTTATTCCCGAAATCTTTTTTGACCAAATAGTTATTTGATATAAAACTACTTAACTTAAAATTCACATAATATGCACATTATTTTACATAAATTTCATTGTACACAAAAACCATTTAACATAAATATCATTTGTCATAGAATTCATTAAACAGAAATATTATGTTACATAAAACTCAGATAACTTAATTCCCATTTGACATAAAAATTATGTAACATAAATTTCTATTGACATAAAAATCATTTAACATAAATTTCTTTTGACATAAAATTCATTTAACGTAAATTTTATTTGTTATAAAATTCATTTGACATCAATTTCATTTGGCATAAATGTCATTTAAAGTAATTCTCATTTGACATAAATATCATTAGACATAAAATTAGCTTGACATAAATTTCATTTGACGTGAATATCATTTAACATAATTATTATTTAACGTAAAATTAAATTTATATAAATTTCATTTAGCATAAATTCCATTTAACATAATTCTCATTTGGCATAAAATTTACTTGACATAAATTTCATTCGGTATAAATCCCATTTAACATAATTTTCATTTGACATAAAGTTCACTTGATATAAATTTCATTTGACGGATAACTCATTACACATAATTCTCATTTGACATAAAATTCAGTTGTCATAGATTTTATTTTACATAAAGATCATTTGACATGGAAATATATAGGCGCGCGAATTTCAAAATTGGCGAATCTAATTGTTTACTTTTAAAATTCGCGCCGATATTGTTATGTAAAAAGTAATTTGTGTAAAATGATTTTTATGTCAAATGAGAATTTTGTTAAATGACTTTTATGTCAAATCTGATTTATGTCAAATGACTTTTATGACAAATGAACTTTATATCAAATGAAAATTATGTTAAATGGGATTTATACCAAATGAAATTTATGTCAAGTAAATTTTATGCCAAATGAGAATTATGTTAAATGGAATTTATGCTAAATGAAATTTATATGAATTTAATTTTACATTAAATAATAATTATGTTAAATGATATTCACGTCAAATGAAATTTATGTCAAGCTTATTTTATGTCTAATGATATTTATGTCAAATGAGAATTACTTTAAATGGCATTTATGCCAAATGAAATTGATGTCAAATGAATTTTATAACAAATAAAATTTACGTTAAATGAATTTTATGTCAAAAGAAATTTATGTTAAATGATTTTTATGTCAATAGAAATTTATGTTACATAATTTTTACACTACCGTCCACGAGTATCAGGACGATTACACGCGACTCTATGAAAAAACATGTCATCACTTTTTCAATAATATCTCGTAAATAAAAGGAGTTACAAAAAAAACCTAAATATGGTTAGAAAGCTGATTAAATTTTACGTAAAATAAGCCGTCTTTGAAGTCATTTCGTTAGCTATTTTTCGAGTTGTAGAGTGAGAAAGAAATAAAAAAAATTATCAAATTTTCTCATTTTTGTCTCTTAACTTCAACTTTTTCAAAAATCTAGTAAAATTTAGATAAAATTTTTCTAAAAACACAGAAATCTTCGTTAGAATTTCAGCTTTAAAATAAGCCTTCGAAAATTAAAAAAGGTTAATCCGTCTTCGATTTATCATTAAAAGTGTGAAGCCGTGTTTCGACCGATTGGTGCATTGAAATTCAACTCTGACAACTCGATTCTGGCTTCGCGCGGCTGCGAATGAGAGAGAAAGCAGGGACGAATCCACGCGGGAGAACGATAAACTTTTGAGTTTCTTTATATTACTCGTGCAACATCATTATTTATTATTCCCCTGCATGAATCCGTCCGTTTTCTCTTCCATTCGCAGCCACGCGAAGCCAGAATCGAGTTGTCAGAGTTGAATTTCAATGCACTAATTGGTCGAAACACGGCTTAACATTTTTAATGATATATCGAAGACGGATTAACCTTTTTTAATTTTCGAAGGCTTATTTTAAGGGCTGAAATTTTAACGAAGATTTCTGTGTTTTTAGAAAAATTTTATCTAAATTTTACTAGATTTTTGAAAAAGTTGAAGTCAAGAGACAAAAATGAGAAAATTTGATAATTTTTTTTATTTCTTTCTCACTCTACAACTTAAAAAATAATCAACGAAATGACTTCAAAGACAGCTTATTTTACGTAAAATTTAATCAGCTTTCTAACCGTATTTAAGTTTTTTTTTGTAACTCCTTTAATTTCCGAGATATGATTGAAAAAGTGATGGCATATTTTTTCATAGAGTCGCGTGTAATCGTCCTGATACTCGTGGACGGTAGTGTATGTCAAATGGGAATTAAGTTATCTGAGTTTTATGTAACATAATATTTCTGTTTAATGAATTCTATGACAAATGATATTTATGTTAAATGGGTTTTGTGTACAATGAAATTTATGTCTAATAATGTGCATATTATGTGAATTTTAAGTTAAGTAGTTTTGAATCAAATAACTATTTGGTCAAAAAAGATTTCGGGAATAAGCATGCGTCTCCATAATTCAGGGTGTCTACTATATTTTTGTTCTGCGTTCAACAAAATTCCCGGTTATTTCCCGGCTATATCCTAATTTTTCCCCGTTTTTTTTCTTATCAAATTTAAATTTAAATTGGATTTCGAACATAAATAAATCTTTAAATTTTTTGAAAATATTGTTTTTTTCAATATTTTTAATTGAAAATTTGGAAAATAATTGAATTAAAAAAAGAATTTTTTCAATTTTTTAAAAATAATCTTCTCTCTTTATAATTATAATTGAAAATATGTTTTTTTAATTATATTAAAATTATATTGATAATAATTGAATTTCTGCAAAGAATTTTACTATTTTTAAAAGTAATTGAATCCTTCTAAAGAATGCTATTATTTATGAAAATAATTTAATTCTTGTGAAGAATTTTATTAAAATTTTTGAAAATAATAAGCAGCAATAATTAATTATTTACTTAATAAGTAATAAACATTTAATTTGCTCAAGAAATAAATAAATATCATTTATTTGAACATTCAGAAATTTTAAATTATAAAAATTTAAGAGAATTTCAATAATTATAATTATTGAATATAATAATACAATAATATAATTTTTGGAAGCAAAAAATTTATTTAAAACTGTTAGAGGGACTTTAAATTTTAAAAATCACATTATAATTACGGTCACTAACTTTCCTTGATTATTTTCAAAAAATTTAAATGAAATTCTTTAAAAGAATTCAATTATTTTTCAAAAAATGTAAAGAAATTTCAAAAATTTTCAATTATTTGTTTAGAAAAATTCATTTATCCTGAAACAATAGAATTGAAAAATTACAACAATCTTATTTTTCAGATTTAAAAAAAATTTGCGAAGGTTCAATTTTATTAAACAATTTTAAGTATATGTATATTTTTTAAATTAACTAATAAAAATTTAAGTTATTAATCTTCGCCCTTAGAAACATGAATACATATTAGAATATGACTCTTTATAAAATTCAATTATTAAATTAAAATACTTTGAAAATTCAATTTGTTGAAAAGTTTCTAATGAAACTCTTTAAGAAATTTCATTACATATTTTCAGTCGAATTTCACAATATTTCTATTAACTCCATAATTTTTTTAAATTTATTTACATAATATGTTTGAATTGGTGACTGATTTTTTTATTATCAAATTAATTATTTTTAACTAATTTAAATTTAGAGAACAGAATAAATATCTATAAAAATTGAAATAAAATGTGATTTTTTAAAAACAAATTAAAATAATAAAACTTTTTTAATTTTGGTGAAATTTTATTCAAATAGTAGAATATTGAAAACTATCGAAATGAGAAAAAGTTTTGAAAATAGTTGAACTTTTGCCATGATTTTTATTGAAATTCTTGAAAATATTTGAATTCTTGTGATGAATACTATTATTTATGAAAATAATTGGATTTTGCACTGAATTTTATTAAAAATTCTCAAAATAATTGAACTTTGTCGAAGATTATTGTTATTTATTTATAAAAATAATTAAAATGTTGACCATAATTTTTGTTTAGATTTTTTGAAAATAATTGAATTTCTACGAAAAATTTAATTAATTTTTAAAATAATGAAATTCTCGTGATGAATATTGTTATTTATGAAAATAATTGTATTTTGCAATTAATTTTATTGAAGATCCTGAAATATAATTGAATTTCGGCGAAGAATTTTTATATTTATTCCTAAAGATAATTGAAACATTGACAAGAATTCAACTTAAAACATCAAGGAAATAAATCTCATTTTTAAGAATTTTAATTTTTCAAGGTTTTGTCATAAAATTCAAGGTATTTTCAAGGTTTTCAAGGCATCTGGACACCCTGAACTTATTTTTACGCCAAAAAATGTTTTTACATTTCTAAACAAAAACGTGTACGCTAAAAAATGACACGCACATAACCTAATAATAATATATTTAAAAAAACATACATATTGCCTTCTGAGGCATGAAAAATATCAATTTTACCATGAATGAAAATAATTTTTTCACAGTTAAAATAAATTTTTTTTAAATGGAAAATTTGAGTGAAGATCTTTACTATATTCCGTCGTTTTGCCTCTTTGAAACCATCCTGTCGATCCTTTTTATCTGCATTACCATCCTGGTAAATAAATGAATCTTGAAGATGACTCTTTTGGACACTGAAAGAAAATTCCATCCTGGGAATAACTGCAAAAGAAAAAAAAAAGGATATTTAATACGTAATTCTTTGATGATACTGCAAAGAAAGTAAATGACTTGAAATGACAAATTTCGTTACAAAATATTATTGTAAATAGTTTTATTTATTACCTCTTTTGTTATTTCTTGTTAAACATATTGTTTTCTTATCGAACATACTACTTTTACACAATTTTCAGCAGAAAATATTTCTAAAATTGACAAAAAAACGTTACTCACTTTGACAATACGACAGGAATATGGCGAGTATGACTTATGAAGATGGCGCTGATAGTTGTTTCTGGCGGGAACCGCAAATGTGCTCTGCTTGGTGGACAAGTTCTACGATTTTCTAATATTAATTCAAAATTCTAATAATGCAATTGGCGCCAATTTACATTTATTGTTGTCTGCTAGACTGTCAAAATAAAAACATTATTCTTTTTATAAAAGTGATCAAAGTTTTCTCTTATTTATTATAATTTATAATGTAAATAAAATTTAATAATATTACACAAATCAAACACAATTATGAGTCAATTTATTACAATTCAAGGTAAAAAGTCTTTTTAATTTTGTTTATCCACATGGGAGTACATAACCTTAAAACTTAAATCAATACACATGCATTTATAATAATTTTCACAATTATGTCTAGGTCAAATTATGTTATTTTTTAGAATCGATAAACAATTGTATTTTTAAATTTTTAAATATGTTAATTACCATTGTTATTTACATTTTTTTTTTCATATTTCAGTCGGACAGTGCGGAAATCAAATTGGTTCTGCTTTTTGGCCATTAGTATTACACGAGTATGGAATTCAAACAACAAGTAATGAAATTAATTTTCTTAAAACTCAAAAGAACTACAACAAGAATATAAATGATCTCTGTGATGCGTTCAACAGTTTCTTTTATGTGCCAAAATTTAACAGTGATTTAGCCTTTAAAACAGTTTCTGAATTAGTTTCAGCAAAAGTTAAAGCGAGGGTAAGAAAGTTTGCTTATTATTTTCGATTATTGTGTTTATAAAAGATTAAAATTTTATTTTATTGTTGAATTATAGGCAGTTTTGATTGATATGGAAGATAGTGTTGTCGCCCGTTTTAAGCAAGGTCCATTACGAAATTTATTCGATCAAACTTGTACGGTTACAAATTATCCTGGTTCAGCGAACAATTGGTAAATATATTTTGAAAATATTATTATTAATTGAAGAATTTTTCTAAAATAAATCATTTATACTTAGGGCTGTTGGTTATCATACGCATGGTGGAAATTATCACGATGAAATTAGCGAAACAATTAGAAAAACTGTCGAAAAATGTGATTGTTTACATGGATTTTTAATAACTCATTCTCTCGGTGGTGGAACAGGTTCAGGTTTAGGAACAGCGACTTTAAAAATATTAGCTGATAATTATAATCACGTTGATAGGTATTTATTAATTCATTTTTAAATTAAGTAACTTTTTATACAAACAATGAACTCTTGAATTCATTTAATTATTATTATTATTACTTTTTGCTGTTTCATACTTGGAAATTAATCTTTTTTTAAAAAAATCGATAGATTTGTGACGTGTGTATATCCTGCTGGAACTGAAGATGTAATTACGTCTCCTTACAATGTTCTCTTAGCAACAAAACAACTTACAGATTTTGCAACTTGTGTTTTCCCTGCGGAGAATAAAGCTCTTCAAGATATTTGCTATGGACACACGAAGAAAAAGGAAAATTCTGATCAAGCCAAGTACAACGCTTCATGTAGACCGTTTCAGGATATGAACAGTATTATCGTTAATATGCTTCTGCATTTAACGAGGTCTGTTAAAAAAATTGTAAAATTTACATTTTTATTATTTTAGATAAGAAAATTGAACATTTTTTTACTTTGGTGAAATTCATAACGTTTTTAATCTACGATTTATAAGAAAAAAATATTTTTCTATTCAATTTTTTGTCTAAAAGAAATTTCTACGATGTTTTTTAATTAATAACTTGAAAAAGAAAAATTTGTAAACTAAACATAATATTGTTGTTATAATTGAACCGTCATAATTTAATTGTTTCATTATTTAAGAGGCCTTGTACGGTTAATATTGTTGTTATAATTGAACCGTCATAATTTAATTGTTTCATTATTTAAGAGGCCTTGTACGGTTAAATGTTTGCTCTTTTTCTGTAATCGGTTTAGTCAAAATTAATTCTGGTTGTGAAGTTTTATGTAATTTTGGTTCGAAACCGTACAAGGCCTCTTAAATAATGAAACAATTAAACATAATATTATTTTCTGAGTAAAAAATATTTTTCTTCTTCTAATCGTCGATTAAAAACGTTGTAAACTTCACTTACGTATTCTTTTTTGTTTGAAACAGTGGTTCACGATTTTCGGGAAGTCTAAATACAGATATGAATGAGCTTGCAACAAATCTTGTTCCGTATCCAAATTTGCATTATATATTCAGTAGTGTAAGTCCCGCTACACTGACGGCGCCTGCGATTGCAATGTCCCAAAAAACTAGGTATGCTTTTTTTTATAACTGTTTACAATTCCTATGTTTTCTATAAGTTTGTAAAATTTTTTTTATTAAAAAGATTTCTAGATGAACTGTTTACAAATGCATGGTCAAGAAATAATCAAATGATAAAAGCTGACCCTTTTCAAACTGATTCGGTGATTCTTGGTGCAGCTCACATTGTTCGAGGTGATACCTCACTTACTGATATAAGAAAAAATATTTCACGGTAAGTTTATAAAATTATATTCAAGAATAATAATAAAACATAAAATATTAGTATTATTATCTTTATTATTGAGTGATAAATTCACATTTTTATTAACAAGGATCACAGACTGTCACCTTTTCACCTATTTTAAATTTATCTTTATTTTTATTTGTTTTTAATTTTAATTTATTAAAACTTCCATCGATTTAACTCATAGTTGAATCTGAATTTAATTCGTCAACAATTTCCAATATTTGTAAATACAAATACGTCTTATTTCTAATTAAGTTCAAATTTAGTTGATCTAAATTTTAATTTATCCAAATTTTAAACAATATGAATTTGAAATTCGATATTTTTAACCAATCTCAAGTTGAATTATTTCAAACTTCAATCTTTGTATTTTGTTATTTACTTATATTTTACAAAGAATTTAAAATTCAGCAAAACGTGATAAATTCTTTTTTTTTCTTAAACATAATTTTTATAAATTATATGTTGTACCTATTATGAAAAGTTTCAAAAATAGATTTATCAGTTTTTTATAAACTTGCTTTGTTCCGAAAATTCATTTAAATAAACAGTAGGTATATTTTTTCGATATTTAATATTTTCAAAAATTATTGACTTGAATAAAAATCAGAAGCCTAATTGAAACAGTTTCAAAATTTATAATTTATAAATTGCTTTTTCTCCAAACGTGACGCACTATATTTATTTACTTATTCAGATTCAAATTAATATTTGAATTATTAACAATTTTTCTTAATTATTTCGAATTGAATATTTTAGATTTCAAAACAAAGTGAATTTTACCGAGTGGAGTAAAGAAGTAATGAAAGTTGGCTTATGTTCAGTTCCTCCAGCAGGTCATCCTGTATCTCTTCTTAGTCTTGTCAATTCCACATCAATGTCTTCAATGCTGCTCGAAGTAATTCGGCAATTCGATAAACTCTATAAAAAAAAGGTAAATTTTCAAAAACAATATTTCGTTAAAACTTAAATTAATTAATTACTATTTTATCAGGCTCACGTTCATCATTACCTTCAAGTCGATAATTTCGAGGAAGATCACTTTCGAGAGAGCCGAAATAGTGCCATTAATGTTTACGAAGGATACATGGAACTTCAAAAACAAAAACCTATAAATGAACCCAGATTGCGGCTAATTTAGAATTCTACTTTTAAAAATGCAATACCAAATCTCAGCTATAAAGTTATTTTTATTTAAAATTTGTTTTGCATTGCTTGTACATTGTTAAATTTAATGAAAATTAACATTCGTTATATTATATATTATTTTTAAAAAAAGAGTTAATTGTAAAAGCCATTTTGTGTGGATAAAGCATTTAACAATTGGAAAGTGATCTAAATACAAGACACTTAATACTGATTATTTAAAATTAACTCGCTGGTATTTGTGGCAAGCCGAATTCGTCTACTAAGACACCATCCTGTAAATAGAAATGTAAAGAAATTAATGTAAAGTACCTAAAAAAATGAAGTACAAGAAATATATTTTAATAAAAAAATAAAATATTTTGTCTAAAATATATTACTAAATGGACATTATATAAATAAACATATGTACTTATTTATTAATACAATTATTAATAAAACTTCTAATTTATTTGTTATGTAAGTTCGATAAATTAAATGAAAAATAATAATACAGGGCTCGAAGCAGTGAAAGTATTTTTTAAAAATACGGACTTTACGGACCAAAAATTAAAAATTACGGACCATTTACGGACCAACTGACAAAAATAGAATCAGGCCGAATCAAATAAGAGAACATTTTACTTAAAACTAGAAATTCAATTTTTCATAACTATAAAACATGAAGAAATCGATAACTCTGAGTCTTCGACTCGAAGTCATCGATTTCTTCATGTTTTATAACAATTAATAATAATTATTAATAAAAATAATTTATAATAAATAAAATCATTTTTCAATTCAATTAATATTTTTAAGAATTTTTATCTAAAATTCTTCTTTATATCGATTATTTTTAATAATTTACGAAAAAGTTCTTTGACAATTTTCAAATTCATTTCTTTACGCAATATTCAATTTTACAAAATTTCAATTATTCGTAAATTCTTTAATTAAATAAATATTAGAAAATATAAACTAAAAATAATATTAAAAAAACTCAATTAAACTTTTTCAAAAACATTAATTACAAAATTCAATTATTTTTTAAAATTCAAGCTATAATCTATAATCTATCATCTAAAAGTTTAACTGAAATTCATTTTTATGAAATAAAAATCAATTTTTATTAGAATATTCTACTAGAATTCAATTATTAAAATAAAAAGTAAATAATTTATGGAATAATTGAACGTTTCTTAAAATTCAATTCCCATAAAAATTGTTATCAACAAATTTTCAAATAAATGAATTCTATCAACAAATTTTAATAAAATTTTTAAGAATAATTACATTTTTCGAGAAATTCGATTAAAAATAATTGAAATTCTGCATTGAATTTTATTATTTATGAAAATAATTGAATTCTTGTGAAGAATTTAAATTAAAATTTTCAAAAATAATTAAATTCTTGTAAAAAAATTAACAGGAATTCAATTATTTTTAAAAATTTTAATAAAATTACTTTCAGAAATTTTAATAAAATTTTTCGTAAGAATTTAAATATTTTCGTAAAATAACAAAAATCTTTGCAGAGATTCAATTATTTTTAAAAAGTCTTAATAAAATTCTTCGCAAGAATTCAATTATTTTCAAAAATATCAGAATTTTAGCAGAAATTCAAACATTTAAAAAAGTTTTGATAAAACTTTTCTTGGTAGAAATTCAATTATTTTTAAGACAATTTTTAAAAAAATGTCTCAATAAAATTCAATTATTTTTAAAATTTTAATGAAATTCTTCGAAAAGAATTCAATTATTATAATCTAAGATTTTAACTGAAATCTATTTTTAAATCAATGTTTATGAGAAAATTTTACCAGAATTCAATTATTTAAATACAAAAATAAATAATTTATTGAATAATTAAATGTTTCTTGGAATTCAATTCCTATTAAAAATTTTATCAACAAATTTTTAAATAATTAAATTCTTTGGACGAATTTTAATAAAATTTTTAAGAATTTTTTCGAGGAATTCGATTAAAATTCTATTGAAAATAATTGAATTCCTAAAAGGAATTTTATTATTTACGAAAATAATTGAATCGCGGTAAAAATTTTATTAATTATGAAAATAGTTGAATGATTGCGAAGAAATTTATAAAAAAAAATCTGTTATTCATGAAATTCTTGTGAAATTTTTATTATTTTTTAAAAATAATTAAAAGTTTTTGTAGAATTTTATTAAATTTTTTTTTAAATAATTAAATTCTTATGGCAAATTTTATAAAAATTGTAGATATTGAAAAATATTTAATTTTTGCGAAGAATATTATTACTTTTGAAAATAATTCAAATTTTGCAATGGATTTTATTATAATTTTTGAAAGTAATTGAATTTTATTACTTTAGAAAATAATTGAATTCGTGTGATAAATATTGTTAATGATGAAAATAATTAAAAATTTTTAATGAATTTTAATAAAATTTTTTGAAAATAATTGTATTTTTTAAAAGAATTTTGCTATTTATTTATAAAGATAATTGAAATGTTGACAATGTTTTTTAGATTTTTTGAAAATAATTGAATTTCGGAGAAGAATTTTAATATTTCTAAAAATAATTGAAATTTCGACGAGAATTTAAAAAAATTTTTGAACATAATTGAATTTTTGCGAAGAATTTTATTACTTTTAAAAATAATTGAATTTCTGCAATCATTTGTAATTTCTCTAAAATTCTCCAAATTATAACGTACAATTTTTCGAACTTTTCATCCTGTTTGAATGAAATTACGGACTTTACGGACTTGAAGCAATGTTACGGACTTTTTCAGGATTTACGGACCTACTTCGAGCCCTGAATAATATTAGCATATACCTTATTTCTGATTGACGTGGCACCTGGTTCCTTATCAGGTGCACTAGGTGCTTTGATAGCGTCATCTAAATATGAAGTATCTTCTTCCAAGGCAAGATCATCCCCTAGAGCATCAAGTTCTGCTTCCAATTCATCATCATCAATTTCAGGCATTCCGTAACTTCGACCCATTGCCTCTTGCACTTCATTAGCTTCGTCTAGCATATCAGCTAAATCATCATGCATATCCTAGAAAGTGTTTAAATTAAATAAGTAATAATATAAAACAACGATTTACTTAAAAATAGTTATTTTTCAACCATATTTTATTTATTAAAAGCATTTTTTCCCATAATATTTTATTAACACAAAAGCTATTTTATGAAAAAATAATTTACCTCTATTTGATCGATATTAATGTTCTTAAATTCCTTCTGCATTTGTTTAACACCCTCTTTCATAGCAATAACAGTTGTTTGAGTATCTTTAAGAGTTTGTGTAGCATAATTTGTTTGTTCCATATTAAATGCTTGTTGCCTTAAATTGTCCACTTGTGATTCATACATTTTTCTTTGCTTAAGAATACGTATTGCTTTAGCTTTTACTGCATTTTTAGCTGGACCATCTCTCATTTTAACCATCTGATCTTTATATTTCTTTAGTTCTGCATCTAATTTCGCTATTTTCTTTTCTGCACTGTCTGCTCTACTGTCAACCTATAAGAAAATATTTTTTATTTCAAATTGAATCAATAAATAATATTATTTACTTAATTATACAAACTGTAAAAAAAATTTTCTGTAGATTTACAGTTTTTTACGGAATTTTATAGAAACTTGTAAAATAACGTCTTTAAAAGTAGCGAATTTAAAATCCCTTTTGTAAAATTAGTATTTTTATGTATCAATTTTACAATTTTCTTTAAATTTACTACTTTGAAAGTAGGTAATATTTTTGTCTTTTTATTACCTATTTTCAGAGTAGCAATTTTATAGAAAATTATAAAATTGACACTCTGAAAGTATTAATTTTATAAAAGGGATTTTAAATTTACTACTTTTAAAGACGTTATTTTACAAGTTTCTATAAAATTTCGTAAAAAAACTGTAAATCTACAGAAAATTTTTTTACATGCATATTTTCCTATTGGTTTGTTGTTATGCTTGACCTTGAAATTATACAAAAAATCAATAATCCAAAAAATAATTTGAACAAACAGAATATATTATTTGAGTAATTTTCAAATATATTTGTAATTATGGAACTAAAATGATAACAATTTGAGTACTTATATGATAATTGAAAGATATGTTTCGCAATTTTATGATGTGAAACGTCATGACGTAGTTAAGTCACTTCAATTATATCTTTAATATTTTTAATCAGAGAAGCATTTTTTCAAATTAGTAATATAAAAAAATTAATATTGTTTTTTTTATTTAGTCTAAATTTAGTAAATAAATTATTCTATTAATATATTATTAAAAATTGTGTGAATCATTACACTTGAAGTTTTAGAGGTTATAAAGTAATTATTTATTTTTAAATCATACTCACTCCAGTTATACAATCAGTAATACTTGGTGGTGGTTCTTTGGGTTTACCTCGACCAAATAACCTATTCATTTTGAAAAATTATTGGTTGGATTCTCAAAAATACAATGAAAATAACAACTTTTGACAAGAAGATAAAATTCGCAATAACTTTTCTGATGAGTACTGCGCAGACGTGAACAGGGTGTTGACAAAGGTGATACTTTATTTTTAAAAGTACCATTTAAAATAAAAAACTACCTCTTAATTTTAAACAAAAAGTGTTTATTAATAATGCTAATTCTTTCCAATATTATAAATTATTTACTTAGTTTCCTAAATAATAATTAATATAAATGAATATTGATTTCATATTATTTTGTCATGTTGGTAGAAGCGGCAAAAAGGAGGTTAGGGATTTTATAAATCTTAGGCTGGCACTATTTTTCATGTTTGCTACTTCGCCTGAATATGATCCTTGCAATAAGTAAACATTATACAATTAACACAACACTAATTAGGTAAAATATATTTTTTTAATTTTTGTCCTTAATTGATAATAATTTTTTATTCATATTGAAAGTTACCGTTTGAATTCTTGCGTTTAAATAAATGAAAATATTTATGATCAATTAGAACACTTGTTTCTCTTGTATAAACCAATTGGAAGTACGTGTTGAATAACCAATCAGAGTAGCTCCTTCATTCCCAGTGTTTACTGCAGAAGATTGTCCCAACTTGGTCCCAACGAACTTTTATCACCTCCTGTATTTTTGCTACAAAGTGGTAAAAATTTATAAATTTTTCATTAAATTCTTGGTGTTTATTGTAATGAAATGACTATAAATTAATTGTGTACATATTTTTAATTTTAGACAAAACAAGTGAAGATGTTCATGAAATACACTGAAATTCTACTTGGCGAGCATCATTGCAAGCAGACGAATATTTTTGTTACCTCTTGTATTTTTGTATTTTTTTACTCCATGATTTTTGCTCTAAAATGGTAAAAATTTATTTATTTTTTTACAAAATTCTTATTAATTATTGTCAATAAGTGATTAACGGTGGATTATTTATTGAATTTTCGCCGAAAAAAATACAAATACACATAAATAGAAGTGATACAAACGATACAAAATGAAGTTGAAAATTAAATCATCCATCATTATTACAAGCCTGGATGTAAAAATTGTTCTTATTTATAGTAGTTTTGTATAAATTTTTATTAGTTGAAGAAAATTATATAGTTAGAGGTTTTGTTCACTTTTTTTAAGAAAATATATTTGAATACGAGTTCTATAGTTACTTGTTCCAACTTGTTAGTACTTTTTGAGGTTAGATATGTTATGGAGGCAGTGGAGGGAAATATTTAAGATTTTTTTTAATTTGAATTAGTATCTGACTTTTTGCTCAACAATTCTTGTTCAACAATTCATTATTATCTTGAATCGTATTTTTAAAAGTAATTAATGATTTTAAAAAATTAATCAAATTAAATGTAAAATTTAATTTAATTTACCATTTACTATTTTTTCTATTTTTCAGTTCAAGCGCAAATAATAATTCTGGAGGAACTGGAAGCCATGCAGAATTGGTGGTGGCAATATATTATCCATTGTTCCAAAGTGTGTGAATCATTGATTGGTGAGTCATTTCTTTTCAATAATGTGGAACCATTTTCTTAATTTTCTTTTAAATTAAATTAATACAAGATTCTGATGCCTTATCAGTAAATATTTATAAAAATGGGGAAGGAAGCTGACAATTTATAGTGCCTTTATTAACAAAATGTTTTATTATGGATGCTATTTCTAAAGACATTTGTGATTGAATACATTTTGGATATTTTAATCTCGAAATTCAATTTTTGATTGAATAATTGTCGAAAACAAACTTATAAACACAATTAAAATTGTCAGATAAAGTTGTTGACACGACTGATAGAAAAACGAAAAGCTTATTAAGGAATGCAAACTTGTGTTTTTAAAATATTTTTGTAAGTCATAAAAAATTCATTAAAATATTTACAATTTAAATTAATTGCAAATTTGGTCCTTTAATTCTATTTTCTACATAAAAAATATTTTTAAAGTATTTTAGATAGATTTTTTTCTTGCTATAAATATTATTTACAAAATTATTACTTTCTGACAAAAAAAAATTCTTAAATATTGAATAATTTTATTGCACTATGAAAACATGGAATCATGTAGAATTTCTATTTCTTTTTCCCTTTGAACTGCTCGAATTTTTTCTTTTCTGTACATTTCATAATTTTCATCGTCCGTGGGAAGTTCGTGTCTGCATAAAGGACACGAATTTGTCTGAAAAATAAAGCAAAGTATTTTTTTAATGATCATTCCAACCGTTTTCTAAAATTATAACAAATTTAGAAAGTTAAGTGTAATAGTTTTTCCAAATTAAAAATCGACTCCAAAAATGAGTTAATTTAATACTTTTGATAGGACTGCCACGGGTCAGGGGAATCAGGGAATTCAGGAAAAGTAAAATTGGCCAGGAAAAGGGCAAGGAATTTTATCAAAAGTACTGGAAAAATATTAAAACTTTAGAATTCATAAAGATATTCTGGATTTTTGTGATCAACCATCTTTAAAAATATTAAAAAGATTTAAATCTTCTCGAATTTATTTTTGTTTGTCTTATAAACTTTAAAATTGTAAAAAAAACTAAAACCTTACATTTTTTATTTCTAACAATAGGTAATTGAATTTTATGGAATATGAAATTAAATTTATTTACAATATTTTAGATTTTCCTAAACTATCATAAAATTATTATACTTATAAATTATTAAATGAATAATTTTACTTAAGAATTCCAAAAATAATTGAATTTCAAAGGATTTCAAATTGCAATTTTAAAACATTAGAATTTTAAACTAATTTTAATTAAAAATTTTCAAGAAGTTAGTTTTTAAATCATTTTAATTGAAAATTTGAAGACGTTTGTTTTTGATAAATTTTTATTTTACTTTATTTGAAATCAGTTAAATGTTTTTTCAGTGTAGTCATATATTTAATGGAAAGATTCTCCAATAATCAAATTTCGTAAAATAGAATTTTAGACAAGAGATTTTCATAATTATTTCAGGTGAACTTCCTGTTTTTTTTTAATTAATTCAATAATTTAAAAAAAATTATTATTATTATTATTATTTAATTTAATTATTAAAAATAATAGATTTTAGAAAAGAATTCTGGTTTTAAATTCTAGAAAATAATTAAATCGATATCATGAAAATAATTATCGAAAAGTTGAGACGCATTCCTATTCTCTAAAGTAAATTTGTTCGAACTTCAATTAAACACAATTTTAGGTGGTAGAAATGTCCCTTATCCGTTTTTTTATTTATCATAGTTATTAAGAGTCTTACAGCGTAGATAATAAAAATATATAATACAGGAATTAGAATTTAAACAAATTTCCCGAGTCGAAATTTAGACCCTACTTAGCCTCTGAAAATGTAGGGCTTATTCAGGTTTAGCAGTCGTAAAGTAGGGTCTGATTTCAATACAATTTTTAAAAACTAGACCCTCCTTTGACTCCCAAAATAGGCTGAAATTTGCCAATCTTCCATTTGGAGAAGCAAAGGAGTGTCTACTTCTAAGAAACCTATACCGTACTTTTAAACCTCGTAGACCCTACTTTCATACTCCTAGACCCTACAATTAGAAAAAGAAAAATTTGAAGATTTGCTCAGATTCAATTGAAGCACTAGGGATGAGTAAAAGTGGAATTTTATGTGTTTTATAGCGTCTATATACACGAAGTGTATATAGACATCAAAACACATCAGTATTTATGAATTTGGAGTACTTTTTGCATTTGCAGTGTTTCAAGTAATGCATTAAAAAATAATTCTAAATTTTCTTTTAGAATGTAGGGTCTAGGAGTATGAAAGTAGGGTCTACGAGGTTTAAAAGTACGGTATAAGGTTTCTTAGAAGTAGACCCTCCTTTGCTTCTCCAAATGGAAGATTGGCAAATTTCCGCCTATTTTGGGAGTCAAAGTAGGGTCTAATTGTATTAGAATTAGACCCTACTTTACTACTCCTAACACTCAATAGACCCTGAAAATTCAGGGTGAAAGTAGGGCTTAAATTTCGACTCGGGTTGCAACAATATTAATTTGTCAATAGTAGAACTTTTGTTTAAAAAAATTTTATATTTCAGAATTCTATTTTATTTGAAACTTCGATTTTGCAAATTTTTATTTACAAGAATTTTCATTTAAAAGAATTTTCAAAATACAAAATTTATCCGTAATCGAATTTTCATTATACAGAATTTACATTAGGACAAATTTTAATTTCACGAAATTTTTTATTTACTACAATATTTATTAAACAGAAGTCATTTAAACAATTTTTTAATTGACAGAAGAATCATTAGAATGAATTTTTTCTTAGTCGACTTTTTATTTCTCAAAATATTAATTGATATAAAATCGATTTGAGCAACTTTTCATATGACAAAAATCTCACATAATCGAAATTCATTTAGACAGAATTTCTAATTATTGAAATTTTCGTTTGTCAGAATGTTCATATGCTATAGAAATTTTATTTTATAGAATTTAAATATGACAGAATTGTAAAATACTCGAATTTCTACTATGCCGACATCTCAAGCTAACGAAAGTTTAGTTCACAGAAATATAATTTGTCCGACAAAACTCCATTAGATAGATGTGTTGTCTTTCTCTAACTAATGGAGCATTTTTGGGCAAATTAAATTTCTGCCAACTAAACTTTCGTCAGCTTGAGATGTCGGTAAGGTAGAAATTCGTGCATATAACAATTTTGTCATATTTAAATTCTATAAAATAAAATTTTTAGCATATGAGCATTCTGGCAAACGATAAATTTTACTAATCACAAATTCTGTCTAAATCAATTTTGGTTATGTGAGATTTCTGTCATATATAAAAAGTTGCTCAAATCGATTTTATGTTAATTAATATTTTAAGAAATAAAAATTCGACTAAGAAAAAATCCATTCTAATGATTCTTCTGTCAATTAAAAAATTGTTTAAATGACTTCTGTTTAATAAATATTGTAGTAAATAAAAAATTTCGTGAAATTAAAATTTGTCCTAATGTAAATTCTGTATAATGAAAATTCGATTACGGGTAAATTTTGTATTTTGAAAATTCTTTTAAATGAAAATTCTTGTAAATAAAAATTTGCAAAATCGAAGTTTCGAATAAAATAGAATTCTGAAATATAAAATTCTGTTAAACAAAAGTTCTACTATTGACAAATTAATATGGTTGCAAATTTGTCTAAATTCTAATTGCTTTATTATATATTTTTATTATCTACGCTGTAAGACTCTTAATAACTATGATAAATAAAAATACGGATAAGGGACATTTCTACCACCTAAAATTCTGTTTAATTGAAGTTCGAACAAATTTACTTTAGAGAATAGGAATGCGTCTCGAAAAGTTACAATAGCATGTCATATAAAATATTTTCTCTAAATTTAAATTAGTGAAAAGTCGACACTAATTAAAAAAAAATGATAATGACAATTTCTACTAATTCTTAGTAAAATATTACTATTTCATTTAGTAGTTTTAATTTTTTTTATTAAAACTTTAGTGGAAAGTTACTAAAAATTAGTAGAAATTTTTAATAATTTAAATTAATGAACAACTTATTACTAATTCATATTTAGAGAGTTGAAGTTCAAAAAGTTTTAAATTTGAATTTTTTGAAAATCAAATTCCCATGAAAAATGTCAAAATTCTGCCTAGAAATTAGGAAAGCCAGGAAAGAACAAAATCCAATTTTTGTGGCAACCTTGTTTTGGTATTTTGATGGTCAACATTGATAAAAGATTGATTTAGTTTATTATCAACTATACTAATAATTTTATAAAATTAAATATTATACACGGAAAGAAAATAAATATTAAATTTTATAAAAGTATTTTTAATTTGAGAAGAAAATGCGACAAAACGAAATTTTTATACAAAAAATACTAAACTGTAAAAAAAACTTATGCTAAATTTAGTCTAGTTGTATCAAATATTAAAGACATCAAATTTTTATATAACATTACTAAATTTTGTATAATTTCTTTTAAATTTTTGTATTTTGTTTATCAAAATTTTGATTTGTCACATTTTCTCCCTAAATTATAAAACACTTTTACAAAGTTTGATATTTACTTTCTTTTCGTATAGTAAAATTTTATCTCTCTCCATCTCAATTCCTTTTTCCAACTTTAAAAAACTCTGTGACTTTTATCAAATTCCATTTCAATTTAATAATCAAACTTTCCTTTCTTTTTCAATGATATGACAACTGAGAATTATCATATTCTCTTTTATGTAAAATACCAAAAATATAATTTTACCTTTTCCAGCCAAGGTAGAATGCATTCTTTATGAAATGAGTGTTTGCAAGGCATAGTTTTAGCTAAATTTTCAATTTCGAATTCCTTTAAACAAACTGGACATTGTTTATTGCGTTCGGTAATTTTAGTTTCTGTTAAATTCTTAACTGCTTCTTTTGAAGCTGGTGGAGGAACTCTTTGACTTTGTTCATCCATTTCCCAAAATCCAAATTCCCTTAAAAATCGAGCCATGTGCATTAAATGATTTGGTGCCTCTCCATCATTTAAAGGTGTTCGTCCCATTTCCGTAAAATAGTCAGACATTCTGGAGAAATAGTTTAGAAAAAATCTTAAATTACAATAAATTAATTAGTAATTTCAAATTCATCAAGAAAGCTACTATTTTTTCAGTATTTATAACAAATTTATTAATTTCTTAATTTTAATGCAATATCTCAACCCTTTGCTTTTGAATATTATTTAAAGGTTATAAAAAATGAATTATTTTGAATCTTGAATTATAAAGTTGAATTTTTTATGCAATAGTGAATTATTCGCAAATAATATTAAATAATTAAAAACTGTGACAATGTCGACATAATTTTTCATAAATTTATGAAATATCAAAAATGCAAAATCATCTTGAAATGTTTTTTTTTTATAAAATTTTAGTAAAACTCTTGATTTTTTCTTCATTTTTATTAAAATTACAGGAAGATTTGATTAAAATGAAATAATATTAGAATTAGTTTACCTGAATATCGTTCCAAGAACAAAATTTCAAATATTTATTCCTGAATTTTAAGGATGTGACACTTTGATATTTGTCATTTATACTATACAACAGACTATACAACATATAATAATATCAGCTGATTCTGTGAAATTTTTTTTATCGAAAAAGACACATGAAATGGAACGATGTCGAAGTACATAAAACCTGCTCGACTATCGATAGTAATCATAAATTTTTCATTTAAAATATTATTTCTGCTCTCCTAAGACGATATAAAATATTTTTCGAAATAATTTCATAACTTTTATAATATATAATTGGTAATTATTGTAATTAATTCAAATCTGTCAATAACGTTAACATTTATTTTCAATTTAAAATTCAAATTTTCAAAATAAATGTTCTTTAGTGATGTATCGATACCGTCAAAAATCGATACATCGAAACATTTATTTGAGAAAATTTTCTTTTTCTGTTAAAATATTTTGCCCACTTTTTACAAAAATTATGCAGTATTGTAAAAATTTTCTTTTTTATAAACTACCATCCATTAAATACTTTTCTAAAAGTTCAGCGAAGGTATGTCGTCTATGCTTACAGTGCAAGTTCCCGATGAGCGCCATTTTATGAAATTCTAAAAGAAGCAGTTTTCAAGAGCACGTCATCTATATATTGATTTAAATTATATTGCTTAAATTTTCTATTACATTTTCTATTTCAGTTCTTTTCTACTTTCTTCATTTCTCAGAATTTTCATCTATATTTACTTTTACTTTGCTCACATTTTTTTATATTAAATATTATATAAAAAGTTTTCTATATTATATATTATACCTAATGAGAAACCACAAGCTTCATGCAAAAAAAGCAAATGCAAATGCAAATTAATTTTTTGACCTTCAAATTTAAATGTCATTATCATTATATTAAGTCACATGTTAAAAAAAATTATAAAGTTTTTAAATGTTTATAATTTTATTTTCGTATTGCCAACGGCAGTTTTTAAAAATATTTATATTGATAAAAGATTTTGTTCATTTGACCGTTAAAAACTTTGGGGACGTTTCTAATGTGTTTGGGAACTTTATGTGTTTGAGCATAAAAGCATAAATTAAAAAAATGTTGTCTAGTGTTAAAGTTCACATCAAAAAGTAGGGGAGAAAACAAAAAAAGATTTTTAAAAAATTCAAATGAGAGAAGTATTGCGCAGGCACTAAACAATACTTCCCTCATTTGAATTTTTTAAAAATCTTTTTTGTTTTTGAGATATAATTAAACGGCACTTTCAACCCCGCTCTCTCCTATTTTTGAATTGCGCAGTTATTATTATAATTGCAATTTGTGAAAATATTAAAAAGGGTATAATTTTGATTCCAGAGCAGCGATTTATTTAATTAATATTAAATAAACGTATATTTGTCTCAGAACTAACTAGATTTTTTATTTGTTTTAAATAAAAATTTTATTTGAAATAAATAAAACATATATTGGAGCCAAATAAAATTTATTTGAAACAAATAAAAAGTCTAGTTAGTTCTGAGTCAAATATATTTTTTCTCTGGGTGTATATGCCGCATAATTTTATAATTATTGAGCATAAATGCTGCTCAATTCGATAACTCGAGGTACAATTTTGTACTTGCATTTTTAAATATTATATTAAAGAAACTCGATTATTACTATATTATTGTCAATTTTGAGAGCATAAATCATCTGGATTAAATGAATAAGATTCCTATCCCTAATGATGGACTTTAAATTATTCATAATCAACTTTTAAGTTTGAAACAACATCAAGTATAAAATTTATAAAGATATTCTTTAGTTAAACCAAAACCGAATATATTTTTGAATTAATTATACTATACTTAAGCGAAATACTACAAAAATAATTTTAGATGATTTTGTTTAATTAAAGTTAGGTTTTAAGCTACTTAATTTCAATTATCTAATGCTAAAGTTTGATTTAAACAAAAATATTTAATTTATATAATATATACAGTAGAGATCCCATTATCCGGACTAATGGATGCAGTCACTTATCCAGATAATCGAAAAAAGTACGAAATAAACGAATTTTCGATTTATAATTTTTGGTATTTGTATTTTTATTTGGCATATGTATTTAAATAAGACTGAAATGAACTAAAACTCAAAGTCAACATTAATAAATGTTGAGTTATAGAAATATTTCAAAAGATTTACATAAACATTTTCTTCAAATCATTAAAATACATAAAAACGCAACTTTTCGTGTGAAAATTCAAAAATTCACATACTTATTATGCATAATACCATTGAGTTATATGTTGTTTAATTTTGATTAAAATATTAATATTGTCATTTGACGTAAGCATTTTTTTCTCTGTCTTCATAACATGATAATCGAAAATACGGATAATACCCAACGGGAAGTTGCCAATGTTAACGATTGGTTCAATAATGGGCCATGCTTGGTACCCAATGGTTTTTTCTTTGCAAAACAATTGGCAACCATCGTTGGACCACCAATGATTTAAACTTGGGATGATCACGCTACTGCCAATGATCGGTAGCCAAGCATCGGGCCAATATTATTTGCCAAGGAATTGCCAAGGAGACAAAATCGATTTTCAAAAGCTTGATTTTTTATTGGCAGCCAACAAAAAACAAAGGTTTTGAAAATTGATTTTTTTAAATTATTAATTAAAATTTATTTTTAAAAAATATATTTTTCAAAAATTTATTTTAAAAAAATATATTTTTTAAAAATATATATTTTTTTAAATTAATAGAACATATTAATTTAATTTGTCACCTCTGGTAAAACAAAGATGAAAGACTGATAAATTCCCTCACTTTATATTTTACAGTGGAGGGATGACTGTGAATGTCTTTGCGAGAGAGGAGCAGGTACTTATATAGAGCCAGTGAAACAGGTCACAAGCGAGAAGAAATCACTAGCATGCACTCTGGCGGCGCTTGTCGGAAGTGGCGCAACGTTGGTTGCCAAGCGCTGTGTCGATAATGTCAGGATATGCATGCGCGCCAGAAAACAGTTCCGACAAGCGCCGCCAGAGTGCATGCTAGTGATTTCTTCTCGCTTGTGACCTGTTTCACTGGCTCTATATAAGTACCTGCTCCTCTCTCGCAAAGACATTCACACAGTGCTGCCAGATTGGGAGATTTTTCTTCAAATTTGAAGAATAATTTGTAGTTTTGAGAAATTTGAAGAATTTGAAGAAATTTTTTTAAAATTTGAAGATTTTTTTTTAAGAAGTAAGTTTTATTAATTTCTTTTTTAAATAACACTAGAATGGTGAGAGATGAATGTAAATTGTTACCATTTGGTAGTGTTTTGTGACTAAACCGTAAATGCATAAATGTTCGCTATATTTGCAACGAAAGCAGAAAACCATGAGTGCAAAAAAGATAGGTAGATATTGTTGTTCTTTTCACTCTCATGATTTTCTGCTTTCGGTAGACGTATTCTGCTCACATGGTATCTCACCCTGATATACGTAAGAACAGTCTCTTGCAGCAGAATACAATTTACCATCAGAGAATAAATTTTGTTTGGTTGAAACCACCCCTCTGACACGGTAATGTAATTCCAATACAAAAAGTATGGTGAGAGGTGACTGGGACCACTAGGGGCGCTAGTAGAAAATGAGGCCTAGGTACATGAATGTGATTGGTTGTTTAAAATTTCTATGATTATGGACATCTTATATAACCAATCACATTCATGTACCAGGCCTCATTTTCTACTAGCGCCCCTAGTGGTCGTCAGTCACGTTTAGCTTACTTTTCAACTGCTCGTGTCAGTGGGGTGGTTGAAACATATTCTATGATCTAATGCAAATCCTTTCAGATCAAATATTAGTTATAATAATTATATAATTTCATAATATTCTTGATTCTAAGTTTTTTAAAATTTGGAGATTTTTTTGAAGATTTTTTTCATAAGGTTTTGAAGATTTTTGAAGAAAAGTTTTAGAAGTTTGAAGAATTTTGATTTTCCTGGTCTGGCAGCACTGCATTCACAGTCATCCCTCCACTGTGAGATATAAAGTGAGGGAATTTATCAGTCTTTCACCTTTGTTTTACCAGAGGTGACAAATTAAATTAATATGTTCTATTAATTTAAAAAAATATATATTTTTGAAAAATATATTTTTTTAAAATAAATTTTTGAAAAATATATTTTTTAAAAATAAATTTTAATTAATAATTAAAAAAAATAAATTTTCATAACCTTGGTTTTTTGTTGGCTGCCAATAAAAAATCAAGCTTTTGAAAATCGATTTTGTTTCCTTGGCAATTCCTTGGCAACTAATATTGTCCCGATGCTTGGCTACCGATCATTGGCAGTAGCGTGATCATCCCAAGTTTAAACCATTGGTGGTCCAATGATGGTTGCCATTAATGTTCCAATAATGGAACGGAGTTCGCCAAGCATGGCCCATTATTAAGCCAATCGTTTACTTCCCATTGGGTAGGAGTAAGGATAATGAAGTCCCTACTGTAAATGGTTTTTTCAGTGCAGAATTTACAGTTCTTTAAATTTTAAGGAAAGTTTTATGAGTTTCTGATAAGGGTTCTTTAAA